GAAGAGAAAGAGAGAGAGAGAGAGAGAGGCGAGCCGGGATGAGGGAGAGCAGGAGGAGGGGTGGAGGTCGTCGCCAGCAGCCACGAGGAAGAAGGGCGGGGCCAGGAGGGAGGCGGGAGGAGCGAGGAGGAGCAAGAGGAGGGGAGCCAGGAGCGAGGAGGGAGAGGGAGGGGCGAGGAGCGACGAGAGAGCGCGGCGACGAGCGAGCAGCGTGGACTGAGGAGGGAGAAGGGAGGCACGCGAGGAGGCCGACACACGACTGTCCCCATGGCCTCGGCGCGGGACCGGCCGAGCATCTGGCCTCCTCTCGGGTCGCCGACGGGGCTCTCCTGGGGGCGGCCAGCGCGGTCCCCGAGCTCTCGTCCCGCGGAGGCCTCCGTGGAGCGGTCTGCGGGGTGTCCTGGGCCTCTCGGCCCCTTTTGGGCCTGCCTTGGGGCTCGTGCGGGCCCCCCTCCCCTGGGGCTCCCGGGGGGCTTCTTGGGGGGCCTGCTGGCGGTCTCAGGGGCCATCTTGGGGCGGAGGGCGGGAAATTCCTAATTAGGTCCAGTGCCCCCTCTCGGGGCCCTCCTGGGGCCACCTTGGCCGTCGCGAGTCCCTGTTGGGCCGCCTTGAGGCCCTCTTGGGCTGCCTGGGTGCTCCCTTGCGGGCCTGTTGGGCCGCCCTAGGGCGATATTGAGGGCCTCTTGGGCCATCCTGTAGCATCGGAAGCCGGAACAGGCGATCAAGTCGAAATCCTTCAAAAGCCCATGAGAAATCACTGATGTTGGCTCCTCTGGGCCCTCTCGGGGGGCCTCTTGGGACTCTCTTGGACCGTCTTGGAGGCCTCCTGGGCCGTTCGGGCCAGTGGCTGCCTCGTCGGCCGCCTGGGCTTCGCTGGGCCGTACAGGGGGCGGGGCCTGAGGCCCACAAGGCTGCCGGAGCTGCCCCGCGGGCGCGCTTCGGCCGCCCGAGGCCCCTCGCGGAGGGAGAAGGGGGCATCGCTCGGACGTCCATTCCCTCTGTTTTTTCGGTTTCGTGCGTGGTTTCTTCGCCAACTGATCAAGGATGCTCCTCGATGGCCCTCGCCGAGAAAAAATGCACACGTCCGAGCGATGCCAGGAGAAGGGGGGCAGCTGGTGCACAGTGCCTCCTCGCACGCCGAGATGCCGGCATTCGTGGAGGCGACGGGTGCGCACCCGCGGAACAGCCACGGCAGGCAGGCCAGAGCGCGGGTCCCGAGCGCGCTGCCGTCGCCGACGCGGGCAAGAGGAGGACGGGGAGAGCGGCACCGGAGAGAGGGGGCGGAGGCCCCCCGAGGCCGAGGAGGGGGAGGAGGAGGAGGAGGAGGAGGAGGAGGAGGAGGAGGAGGAGGAGGAGGAGGAGGAGGAGGAGGGGGAGGGGGAGGGGGAGGGGAGGAGGAGGAGGA